TCACCCAGGTTTCACAATTTATTTAAATATGCGTGATTTAAAAATGGATATTTACAGAGTAGGTCATGCGAATTCAAAACACCGGTTGAGTTTTGTTTTCAAAGTGATTCTAAAATAAGATATTTGTGGCGAAACTGCCATAATTATTAGTTCTTGGTGCAAAATATCACTTTGTATCACACATTTTTTCCATGATCACTACCTTTGCAACGAATATGTGCCATAAATGTAACATTTATTTTTCGTTTATATGCAAACACTATTGATTTTTTTATTATTATATTGTGAAATATATATAATAACGTGTTATTATATATAATTTATTCTATAATTTATTGTATTATTCCTCTCTATCCTATAAATTATTACTCCATACTTTTTGTTAAGCCCTTCGTTATGTCTCATTCAGCAATTAATAAAATATATTGTATTGTCACACTACACGCTTGCAGAGGTAACATAACGTCAGCCTAATTAGAAAACCTCTTAATTCCAATTTTTGACAAAATTGAGACTCATTTTATTCGATTAAAGTCGACGAGATAAATCGAACAAAATGAGTATCTCAATTTTGTCAAAAATTGAAGTTAGGAGGTTTTCTAATTAGGCCGATGATAATGTGTTTCATTATTTCACGTGCATTGCATGAAATGCTTTTTTAATCATTTTAATTATTCATAATCGACATATCTTTCAGATCGTAGTGAACATAAATTTTACACATTAAATGAAGAAAATATACATTTGGAGCTTTTGTACAAATAGCGATGCTGCATACACATTTGCTACTGTTATATATGTAAATTGTTCAATTGTTCACGTTTTCATCAAGCATTTTTATTTCGTATAATACATTGTATATCATATCATTACGATTAATTGTAGTATAAGAAAATATGCACAAGCAGTCGTGAAGCATAGTGCAATTGTAGAGAAATTTCACAGCATACCTACCTACAGTATCTATCTACTCGGGCAGCACAACACATATACCATGAAGATTTCTCATTGCGTTTTGTCCAAAATATTAAACACCATTTTCTAATATTATATATGGATGGATTTGGTATTTAATGCTCTACAATTTTTGTCCTTACAAAAACTTAAAAATTTTGCCAGAGTAACGAGAGGGGGGAGAATAGTTCAACATTTGAAATTTTTAAAAATTGAACACATGGTTGTAAAGAGCATAAAATATTGCAAAACTTTTGTCGGAAACTTTTTCTCATATAACTCATAATTTAGAAAATATTTGCTAAAAACGGTAACGGCTATTTTCTTCAAGGGGTGGTTTCACCCTCTAAACATGCTCCGAAGCCGATATAAAAAAATACGTGTCCCTTAGTTTTTAATGCTGTACAACATATCCGAAACCCAAATCGGTGAGGGACAGTTGTGTAACTCTCCTTGTAAGATGCACTAATACAGCTTTACACACCTGATGAAATACCTATGCTAATAAACGTAGATGGTATTCCTTTGTATAAATCTAGTCGAAACCAACTTTGGCCTATTTTGTGTCAAGTTTATCATGAATTAAATATATACAAACCATTTGTTGTCGCTTTATACTATGGAAATAATAAGCCCAATAATATTAATCAGTATTTCCATAAATTTATTGATGAAATTAATGTATGACAACGCGAAGGTTTACTTATTTCAAATCATTTAATGAAACCATATATTAAATTTTTTATTTGCGACGGTCCAGCTCGTTCTCTTTTAAAAAAGATTAAAGGACATAAGATAAAGATTAAAGGCTTTAGTGCATGTGAAAGATATACTGTGTATGAAAAAAAAAATAAGTAACAGAATAGTTTATATTGTAATCGATGCATTAGAAAGAAATAATGAGAACTTTAGAGCACAAACTGATGCAGAACATCACATTGATGTTACAACATTACTTGATATTGTTCCACAAATTGATATCATTAAAGTATTTGTGTTGGATGTAATGCATTTAGGATATATTGGTGCTATGAAAAAATTATTAGTAGAATATTGGCTCGAGGGTAAATTAATGGTGAGACTAAGTTGTTTGCAAAAAAGAACTTTCAAGAAGGCTCAATATTATCCGAAAATATATACCATGTAAATTGCAGAGAAAAATTGGTCCTTTATTTAACGCTCGAAAATGGAAAACAACCGAATTTCGATTTTTTTTATCGTATTGTGGTCCATTAGTTCTAAAAAAAATTTTAAGACCTCAATTATATCAACAATTTCAATTATTACATATCGCTTTTAGAATATTATGTAGTAATAAATTTAAAAAATATAATAATTTTGCAAAAATATATTTAATATAACTAAATTCTTCTCCTAGATACTGCCCCTTTATATGGATCACAATCACAAATTTTAAATATGCATCATTTAATTCATATAGCAGACGATACTATTAATATGAATTGCAATTTAAATGTTATTACATCTTTTTCTTTTGAAAGTTATTTCGAATACAATACGGAACTTGATACGTATTTCGAACAAACCTCTGGAACAAATATGTAAACGTTTAGAAGAAAAAAAATATATATATTGTGAAAAACCGACAAGGCCAAAGTTGTTTATCGTACTAAAAGAAAATAATAAATATTTACAAAATAATATAATACTAATAGAAAAGATGAAAATACGTGGATTATTTATTATTTGTCAGAAAAGTCCGGACAATTGTGTTTTATTAAAAGATGATACAATATTGTTAATACAAAAATTATTTTACTATGTGCATAATTCTAAAAATGTTAAAATATTGGGATTAATCTTAAAGAAAGGCAAAAGATCTGTGTATCAATATCCATCAGATTTATCACTATTTCATCCCAGATAGCCAAATCTGCGCAAACAGATTTCGATCAGATGTTGTTATAATTTTTGACGGCAAAAAGGAAACAAATTTAACACAGAATCTGTTTATCTGATCGTGTCGACAAACTGTTACCAAAAATTTGACAAAGCTTAATGACAGGCAGTCCGAGCAGATTGGCGGCAGAAACTAAACAGAGTCTGTTACAATCTAATGACAGATTGACGGCAGAAAGCGCGCAGAATCTGCGCACATAACCTAATAACAGATTGACGGCAGAAAGCATGCAGATTCTACGTATATAACCTGACAGCAATTTGACGGCAGAAAGCAAGCAGAATCTGTCCGTTAATAGCTCACTTAAACAGCCATTTAAACTGTATGTGTACCTGACATGTACTACTACCGATAATATTTATTTGTCTTTTTAATATAAAGAGAAAGAAACTGTAATGCTGTAAAAAGAATTTTATTTTTATTATAATTTTTATTATAATTAACAAAAAATATTTGGTTTTTTATTTTAGATAAAGTTATCACGAGTCATCCTGGTCACCACGAGGATACTTTTCTTTAAGGGGTCTCCGGAAACCAGCTCTCAACAGCTGAATTTTCAATATTTTTTGATGAAAATTTTATGAAATTTTATTGAAATGTTATTATTTCATATGCTAAAAGTTCGAATAAAATAATTCATTTAGTATGTTAAAGAAAAATTAGAGAAAATATACTTTTTTGCCCTTCAAAACCCATGTAACCCCTTAACTGGCCGGAATCACACACTACTCTTGCCTTAACTGGTTTGAATCACACACCACTCTTGCTTTAACTGGTCGGAATCACACACCACTCTTGCCTTAACTGGCCCGAATCACACACCACTTAACAAATTGTTAACTTCAAACCTTTATAACTCAAAAAGTACTTAATGAAAAAATATTTTATTATAGTGTTTTGGAAAGCGCTCGAGATAAGCTATAATAATATGCAATAAAATATTGGGAGTTCTATTTAAAAAATAAGGTTGACCTTGAAATGACTTTGAAGGACATGGTCAAGGTCAAAGTTAAGGTCATCATCTTACTCCCCGCTTGAAACCATATAACTTTGCTATTGGACATTTTCTCCAAAATGCATTCTAACTGAAGATATTAGAGGGGTCCGATACTTTTCGATGGCCCTGTATGTAAAATGGCCGTAATAAAAGTATAATTACAATAAAATTATAATAAAATTTTAATTTTAAATGCAATTTTATTTGTGCTTCCGTCACTGACTCAGCAACTGTAGATCAGCAGGGAATATTGAGATGTTGCCTAGATTGTACTTGTCACCATAACTTGGCATCAATAATTAATTTCTGTAAGCTAAGATTTCAATTAATCCTTTATATATTGATATTATAAAATATCATGGATAACATATCACGTTGTACTGAAAACTGCAGATTTATGTAACATGCAATATCTCACACAGTACCGAACATCCAGTGGATGTACATTTCACGTCCAATTTATGTCCGTATATCCGATTTACGTCCGTGGACATAAATTGAACGTAACAAGGATGTCCTTATTGGACATCGGACCTGTAAGACGTCCGATGTACGTCCATCGGACGTCCGAAGTTGTGACAAACGTACTTCCTATGGACGTCTTTTGTAAAAATGGACACATAATGGACGTCCAATGGAAATCCGTGTGCTGTCTGGGATGGTTTGCGTGACAATAGAAATTGGCACTCACAAGTACCGATTGTTTTTTGATTGCGCAGAGGCTTCTCAGTTTGAGCAAATTGGGTCCCAGCAGACGCAGTATAACTGTTATATAACTGTTAGTTATAATTTTTTATTCAACATTTATATTGAATAAAGTATTATAAGTAACAGTTTTATAACTGTAATTTTGTGTTTGCTGGGATGGCACTAAAAAGTGCCGATTTGTCTTTACGATTTCTTTTCTCTCTCTCTCTCTCTCCCTTCTTCTCTCTTCTCTCTCTCTCTCTCTCTCCCCCTCTCTCCCTCTCCCTCCCTCCCTCCCTCTCTCTCTCCCTCTCTCCCCCCCCCTCTCTCTCCCTCTCCCTCCCTCCCTCCCTCTCCCTCTCTCCCTCCCTCCCTCCCTCCCTCTCTCTCTCTCTCTCTCTCTCTCTCTCTCTCTCTCTCTCTCTCTCTCTCTCTCTCTCTCTCTCTCTCTCTCTCTCTCTCTCTCTCTCCTTCCGCTTGTCTTACTCTTGTCTGTGGCTGCCCTTGCTTATCTTTGGTCCAATGGTCCTCCACAGGCATTGTTTCCAGACGCGATAACGGCTCACCCTCCTGTACCGAGACATCCGCATACTACTCTGCAACTCAGTGAAATCTATATTAGGATGAGCAGGTATGTTATATGTCGAATATGATGTGTCATTGTGCGATGTGCCATTGCGCTATATGTGATGTGTGAAAATATTTTACACAACTTTGCTATATATTATGACAGCTACAACATAATTTGTTATTTCAGAGGAATTCTTTTCATCACTATCCGAATCCGTCAATGTATTATTCCAAAAAGGCATTCTGTAACATTTTGCACGAACATTTTCTATACTAATATTGAATAAATCGCAGTCTAAGTTGCTACACTGAAAAATCTGGAAAGCTAAGGATGCCAAGCCAATGTCATAAAAATTATTAATTTCTAGAAACTTTTGAACTTGTAAGTAATAAGAGTTATTGTTGACGATAATATTGAAGACAATACAGATTGACCCATCATGCAATATGCAGCAATTATCACGGTCGTATATTGTTAACATTATTCTGTTAAATTGTATCTTACAATACTGAAGACAACTAGCATCATTATTTTGCGGTATAGATACACGAAGAGTCAACTTCCCTAATAATATTTGTTCCGTGGATTTGTATCTCTCTCATTCTATTGAAGAACTGCTGAAGAGGTAAGCCCGGTTTCCTGCTATATTTCCTGAAGAGGGACATATTATTCTCATACGGAAAAGCAGAAAAAGAATCTAAACATCCAAAACGTCTAACATCGTCGGTCAAATGAAGAAGACCGTGAACATTATAACTATTAAACGTTACGCCATACAAATTACTACTGCGAAGAACCAATTTTTGGAGCGCTAATTCAGCAAATCTCAGATGTTGTATGGTTGGGGATTTAGTTACTAATGCTCTTATGGCAGTGTGCAAAAATAAAAAATGTGTATACAGTTCTTCATTTAGCAAACCGTGCATCACAACCGGACCTGTATAAAGTAAAAATTGACGAAATTCTGTTGCTTTATATTTGGAACATACATCGAGAGTTCTAGGGAGTCTTGCAAAATCTGAAGGACAATATTGTCTAAGAATATTTAACCTGTCACATATAATACAAATTGATCTTCCTGACAATTTTGATATCCGTGAATATTTCCCATATACCCAAGCACATAAGAGTTTTTTTGTTACGCCTAAACACATCAAATGCATGTACTCAAAAGGAACGTTTGAAACCATACCTATTGGGAGTAATGATAAAGGACTTCTACCTTCTTTATGATGATCTTCGTCCAAGTATCCATGATATTCTTCATCTGTTCTCAAGAAATGATTAATACAGATGAAAACATTACGACCTTCGCTCAATGTTCCAGAAACTTTACATTTTGAGCATGGTTTGCAAGACATGTGACCATGATGATTGAGAATAAAAGTACGGGCTGGAGCATCAGCTACAAAACATCTTAATTGTATTGGTATTTTATTACTATTATAGTTTACACCTCCATTATGCATAATTCTTGTAATATCTGTAATAAATTTATCAAAAGAGACATTTGGGTTGTGAGGTTTTTGTTTACCTTTATAAATTCCTATTATTATCTGTTTTGTATGCTGAATATTAGATATCCTACACTGAATTAGCCAGATATGAATATTGCCTGATCTAGCCAATGTGCAGCCATCTGTATTAAAATCTAATTGAAGTTCAGAAGGAATAGATATTAATGAAATACTAGAAAGACTATCAATGATATCTACTTCCAGATCCAGATGAATATATTCACCTGGATCTACATTTGATAGTATAACACTATTACGTGGTGTATTTAGAAGCGTTCTAACATCTTTAGGCAAATTAAAAAAGCAATAATGTGTTCGAAGTAGACTTAAGACACTATTGTCTTGTGTATATATGCTTAAAATTATTATCAACTAAGCAAGATGCTAAACGTTCGCGAAAGGATGCTTGAACGGAGTTGCTCAAAGAAAATAAAAACGTGTCACCGACTTCAAAGACATCTGAAGACACAGAAGAAGAATCGTTATTAATATTTGGGTTATATGTAAAATCGCAATTGTTACTGGAAATATGTATATTATTATCCGAACTGCATCCTGCATTTGCTGAGTCGAAATTATTGTTAAATATTATATCATTACGAGAACTGCATCCAGGAGTCAAAGTTGTAGAGTCAAAAGTAACATGCATATTATTACGATTATTATTTAATTGTCTACCAGTAATATTAAATGTGGAAGAATTAGACGACCTTAAATTATTTCTCATCTCTAACATAACCCTATTACGCTGTCGCATGGACAACTCACGCTGCGATTTACGCGAAACAGATAATTTAAAATTAATTTTTTCCATAGCTACATATTGACGAATCCGATGTTGTGACTGCAAAGACTGCAAAAGATCTGATGTAGCAAATAAATCACTTAACTTTCTCAGAACAATCTTAAAATACACTTCGCTATTCGGGTGGTTGAATTCAGTTGAACTCGGAATAACGAAACGTCTGTTCATTTTTGCTGCATTTTTGGACTAGAGTTAGTTCTCTTGAGTTGAACTGCCTGAACTAGCGCACACTTATGCAATAAGTTACAGTGAGAAAAAATATAATGGTCTCATTGTAATTTATTGTACCAGTTTAGCAGAGCAGTTAAAAAGAATAGGTCACTTATATTTAACATCATCTTAAATTCATTTACATATTCTCAGCAGCCAATGAAATGATCCATATAGTATCTGAAGCTTAATATTAACTTAAATATAAGATTTGATTATGAATACGGGCCCTAGTATCAGATACAGACGCTAAAATAAAATATTGTAAAATATGTTGCATAAAATACCGAAAATACAATGGTTGCACAACGGGTTGATCTAACAGTAGTGAAGAATCTAACAATAAAGACCAATAGTCACTAATCGCTCAGTGAATGCTTTGTTTTCTGAACGCAACCAATGGTCGCGTAGCGGAACAAGGCGATCAGTGAGCTGTTGGTGTCAGCGATTATTGGTCTTTATTATTAGATCCCTAATTATTATTAGATCCTATTATTAGATCCCTAAATTTGGACCAATTATTTGTACGAAATACTCAATCGTTGTGTTCACTGAACGCACCCAATGGCTGCATTCAGCAGACTCAACAGTTGGACAACATTACTAGATTTTCCACTGAATCTCGCTCCTGATTGGTAAATACTTCTGGGTCTATGAAGAATCTAAAAGAATGCTCCAATCACAGATAATAATCACTAAGCACTCTCTGATCACTTTGTTCTACTGAACGCAGCCAATGACATCTTATATAGGGTGATTCAAAACAACCTTCCATTATTAAAAGTATAAAATCCTGATCAAATTCTAAAACAACTTTTCCTTTTGTAAAATTTTGGCAAAAGCTTAGATTTTAACAGAAAAGATTTATTAACAAAAATAGTAGACCTATTGCGGGTCGGGTACGGGAGGTAGACAGGTGCGGCGCAACTCACCGTCAGACGTGGGCGCTAACGCGGAGTACCCGCAACAATCAGCTGATCACACTACACATGTTATACACTAGCTACGTTCCAATATTTATTGCCAGCATAAAAATCTGTATTTTGTATCTGTAACGTGGTGCGACGGATGTCTTGCTCGGTTGGGGTACAGCTCGGCGTATCTTCGAGCAGCAGCGACGACCTGACCGTGACAGACTCCGAGTGTCAATAGCATGTCATAATATTCTTCGTTCGTGTATGCTGCCATATCGTCTTGACGTTAACGCTTCCAATAACCGCAGGATTATTGATTAACGCATCGATTGTTTCAACGCATTTATACGATCGTCGCGGGATGTCCATTGGTCCATCCCCCACCACGCACGACCGCCGCTTCGCATTGGTCGTGCAATGAATACGAGTGAATGAATGAGAAAGAGACAGAAAGACTCGGAGAGACCGAGAACGTGCTTGCATGTGTGTGCGCGTACAATCCTGGCTGTTTTCCAAAATTTTTGCCAGTTATAACAATCACCTAACGTCACAGAAATGGAAGGTTGTTTTAAATCACCCTGTATAGCGCGTAATCAAAACTTGCGAATTGATGAAAAGAAATACGTTTAACAATTGACAATTGAATCGTGATTGCTGCGGTCTATGTACAAAAATCGTTATTCTAAGTTCAACTGTTAATGAATGTATTTGATTGTGAAAAGATTGTGTTTTTCTGAAGATTCTTTGTTATATTTTATATTATATCATATCTTGCAGCCGCAACACCGGACTCGCCAAAATGTACCCTAATAGCAATATTTCAGCAGACTGACGGCAGGCTGACGGCAGAATGAATCAGAGGTTTACAGCAGATTGGTGCCAACTGCTTATCCATTGTGCCCGCATTCTGACGGCAGAGTCTGGCAACATTATTTGACGGCAGACTGATGCCAGAAACAAAGCAGATCCTGACGTACACACAGTCTAGTGACAGATTGACGGCAAAAACGTATCAGATCCTGACGTACGCAGTCTGGCGGCAGATTGACGACAGAAATACAACAGATTCTGCATTGCGCAGTCTGGCACCAGAATGACGGCAGAAACGTAACAGATCTTGCTGTTCACAGCCTGACAGCAGACTGGTGACAGGAATACAACAGATTCTGCAATATTCATTTTTACATCCCCTTCCCATTCAGTCATGCACATTACGTGAAAGTAATTATTAAAAAACAATACAATATACGAACGTAATTGTTTTTATTCATATCACACAAAACAAAACGAGACAGCCAATCAGATTCATAATGGTGTTTACCGTAAATGGCCGAACACGAAGGCGACGATGTTTCTTCTCATAGCCTCAGGAAGCGACGATACACGATGACTTCGAGACGATGTTGGAGTAACTGATAATAGGGTTTGTGAACGGTGAAGTGGCAATCTGCTGCCAAATTCAGGGCGCTATTGGAATAATATATTCTTATATTAATATAATTCTTATATTAATATAATTCTTGAGACTAAATAGAGCAAAAAGATCTAGTACCACTTTTTCTTCTGACAAATAATTAGCGAAATATCGTGAGTTAAATATTGAAAAAGTTATCAAGTTTTCCTTAAATATCATAAAAAATATTAAGTTAATAAAAAAATATTTCAGACAAAAGTTGTTCAAACCAATTGCTAGAAAAAGACGATGTAATAAAAAATTGGGTTATCCATTTAAGATTTTTATATTGATCTTGACTGGACTTTTCAAGGTTATCCCAATGTCACATTCATAGCGTCAGTAAATAGATCCTTTGAAGCCTTACAACTTTAATTTGAAATTTTTTTCTCTAAAATGTCGCGTTAACGAAAAATCGGGTGAACCGGGTGGTCTGGAACACCCGGTATATTGGATTGTGACGATGGAAACGTGGAAATGCATGTCAAAAGTTCCTGTGATTTACGGTTAAAGAAAGAAATATATCATTAAAATGACACTTGAAATCTGCTCTATACATTTGTAAAATGCTCTGCACGGTTCTCTTTTGCCGAAATAAGTATTATATAATCGCAAAATAAATGTTACAAAATCGACTGATTTTGACAGAACATGTTGACAGAAAATCAGTCGCATGCACACATACACAAACACACAAACACAACGCGCGCGCGTGCGTTAATATTTATGTGTGTGATTCTTGTAATATTTACATGTTTACATACGTTATATACGTTTCTAAGAAATTTTTGCAAAAATAGTAATATGAAACAGCTTGTAACGTATGCATTCACGCACACATATATACCAGTGGTTTTTATTATATTTATATTGCAGGAAATGCGTCCTGTAGTAATGGGTCCTGCTAGACTAAGATTTATGCAATTGTTTCAACTGTGATTGCAATCTTTAAGTCATGTTTATGCCAACAAATGGAATATTTTATTTCAAGTTCAAGATTTTGTATGTTTAACGATTCTGCATCCTATGTTATACATCACAAATTACGTTATACATCACTTTATGAATTTCATAGGCTCTTTTCACAGAAAAACACTCCTCATAGAAATATAGAGAATATTCATACAAGAACATACAAATAGGTGTATATTGCACTTACAAACATTTTTTATGATATGACGTAAACTATAGGTTGCAAAAAATTGCTGATTATTATTAATGTAAATAATATCTGGTTTTCAGGAATATATGTAAATATATTTTCAATTTATAACTGTGTTGTATGTATAACAATTACAGAAAAAATTTAATATGACCTACGAAAAGAAAAGTTATATATGGACAGGCGCGGGAGGGCCTTCCAAACATCGCGCCAGAGGTAAGTCACCGTGGGGTTTTAGCCGGGAAGAGTCTGGCATTACCTCGGCAAGGAGCCGGGGTATCCATGAGGATTTCCCCACGTAAAAAAAAAATAAGAATAAATGGAAAGAAAGGTAACGCCGATCTATATGCAATGTTAATTCATGCAAGTCTATCGACGCACCGAGTCGAAATCGATTGCTATTAGTCGTCCCCTTGTCGAATCCACGCCGAAAGACAAACATCAGCCTCAGCTGCGTGTCGAGACAGAGCAAAATGGAGCGAACACATTCTCTGTTTCTCTTTTGCTTGGCTCGTCGGAACAAGTCGAGCGGAGGGCGGGGTCTCAGAGGAAGTGTAATCGACGAAACATGCAACGCTTGCGATGCCCGTATGTTGTATGCAACACGTGCATTTTCTTAAAAAAAGAAAAAAAATTTATTGTGATACACGTATGTTATATGCGACACGTGCATTTTCCTAAAAAACGAAAAAAAAAGATTGGCGAAAAAGGACAACGCCGACCGCCAAGGAGATGCGAACCACCGACGACCTCAACCCCGCGAGTCTAGCGCACTTCCACCAAGCCACACGCTCTTTGAGAAACTCGCTCCTTCATTTGGTTCATGAAGCAGTCGCAACTTTCTTGCAAACGCTTCAATGCTACGCCGTATCTTTAAGTGCAATGTTAATTTGTCATGCAAATCTATCGACACAACGAGTTTGATTGAAATCGCTATTAGCATCTCGTTGGATTCACGCCGAGAGTGAAACGTCAGTCTCGGCCGTGTATCGGGAAGCACAATCTCGGCAACGTTGCGAATCAGAGCGAGATGGAGCGAACACATTCCCTCTCTCTCTCTCTCTCTCTCTCTCTCTCTCTCTCTCTCTCTCTCTCTCTCTCTTTTTCTCTCTCTTTCGCTTGGCTCGTTAAAACAAGCCGAGCGGAGGGAGGGACCTCAGACGGATAGACGGGAGCAGTTTCTCTGTGTGTGTGTACCGACTATATTTTTACACAGAAACGTACGGCAATTGAAAATGTTTAAGCATATACCCTGAGATTCTAGCTGTTGCGTATGACACGTGTGTGTATGTGTGTGTGTGTGTATGTGTGTGTGTGTGAGTGCGTATATGCACACGTACGTCACGCACACTTTCAATGCAACACATGCACACGGACACAACTGCGCTAAAAAACGCCTGCCGGAGTATAAATAAATACTAACGTAACGCTGAAATATTTTGGAGAAATAATTTTGGGTCACACAAAATATTATCTTATT